CCACCTATAATGGGCTTAGACAAAACCCTTGGAAACCATAACTGCAAACCCTGCAAACCCCCTTTAAGGACGCTGTTAAAAACAACTCTAAAGCCCTTCGAACAACCCCAAGCCCCCAAACCCTAAACCGCACAGGCTGTACCCAAAACCCGAACCCTAAGCTCTAAGTTTAGGGTTTAGGGTTTAGGGTTTAGGGTGTAGGGTTTAGGGTTTAGGGTTTAGGGTTTGGGCTGAACCCTATAATGCCCTTCCTAAGACCCGAAGACTTTTGCTTTTTTGTTTGGTCGCCTCCTCCCAGCTGCTCAGCGCCTTGACGAGCTGCGTGTTGCAGGCAAGCTGCGGGTCCACCTTCCCAGGGACCCCAAACCCTAAACCCTAAACCCTAAACCCTAAACCCTAAACCCTAAACCCTAAACCCTAAACCCTAATCCTAAACCCAAACCCAGAGCTTCAGAGTTTCGGGGTTAGGGCCCAGGCTTCCTTAGGGAGTTCCTTTAAGGATTCCGGGTTCAGGGTTTTCAGGTTAAGAGTTGCTTTAAGGATTCCTTTCAAAGCTTCGAGGGTTCTTTCATTCAGGGGTTACTTTCAGGACTCCTTTCAGAGCTTGGGATTCAGGGTTTTAGGAGATAAGGGTTGGGGGGGTTAAGGACTTCTGGTTTACGGCTGGGGGTTGTAGGAGTTAGGGCTTTAGGATGCAGTCGTCTTTCACGGTGTCATTGGTGTCGTGACTGTTATCCGGCTAACATCCAGCAATGCAAACCCTAAACCCTAAACCCTAAACCCTAAACCCTAAACCCTAAGGTGGAACAGTCTCAAGCGCCCTACACCCAGACCACCCATCTCCATGATGAAATTAGCCGACGACCAAAGGCCCGAAACAATAAATCCCAACCCCGAACCCCCTAAAGCCGAAACCCCGAACCCTTAAGACCTAAATCCCACCCTAAACCCTAAACCTGAACCCTAAACCCTAAACCCCGAACCCCTAAGACCTAAATCCCACCCTAAACCCTAAACCCTAAATTTCTAAAGCCAAAGCACTAAAGCCCAAACCTGAAGGCTTTCCACCTTAGAAACCCTCAACAAGAAACCCGTAAAGAAACCTGTCAAGGCCCCCTTTGTAGGAACTCCGATAGAACCCCTTAAAGGAACCCCGGCCCTGTCCGGTAGCCCCTTAAAGGTGCCCTAAGGGAAGGGGAGACCTTTGTTTAAGGAACCGTTCACTTTTAGGGTTTAGGGTTTAGGGTTTAGGGTTTTTGGTTAAAAAAGGAACCGTTCATTTTTAGGGTTTAGGGTTTAAGGTTTTTTGTTAGGGCCTTGTTCGTCGCTTGTGCTCCAGAGCCCATGGTGGGCAGGCTCTTAGGGTTTAGGGTTTAGGCTGGTTTAGGCTGGTTGTTTAGGGTTTAGGGTTTAGGGTTTAGGGCTTAGGGTTTAGGATTTAGGGCTTAGGGTTTAGGGCTTAGGGTTTAGGGGTTAGGGTTTAGGGTCTAGGAATCTGAACCCTGATGCTTAAACCTTGAACCCTAAGCCCTGACCTCCATGACGAAGTTGGAGATGGAGGCCAGGTAGCTGCGCACTTCCGCAAAGCTGGACAGGACCTGGCTGGCACGTTTTACACCCCCCACTGTAAGCCCAAGACCCTAAACCCTGTTCAGGGTTTAGGGCTTAGAGCACAGGGTTTTGGGTTTTACGACAGGTTTAGGGCTTAGCTCCTGTAGTGGTTGGAGGGTTCTTAAGAAGCAGGGGCTTCATGCTGAAAGCTTCGGAGCCTGCCCTTGAAAACCTGCACCATAAACTATACTTAGAGTTGAGGGTTTAGGGTTTAAAGCGAGTCCCAGAAAGTTGGAACATAGGTTTAGGAGGATTAGTGCTATGATCCCTTATACTTTACCTTAAGGGCATGAGGATATTGATGTTCCAACTTTCTGGCTTCTACTGTAGGGTTAGGTAACCCCCAACACCTTTCAGAGCCTCTTCTGTTCTTGCTGCTGGAAGGCCTCGACATTCCTTCGGTTAAGGCTTAGTTCAGGTATTGTAAGGCTTGGCTAATCCTGCCCTGGGGTTTAGGGCCGTTTAGGGTTTAGGGATTTAGGGTTTAGGGTTTGCTAATCCTTGGGGTTTGGGGTTTGGGGGTTTGGGCTTCCTTCCAGTGGGGCCAACATTTTTTGGGGACTCTTAGTGGTTTTAGGAGCAGGAAGAGACCCGCTATCTTGCACCTGACACAACCAGTATAATGTAGAGGCCTTAATAATTCGCCTCGGCCCCCGTCCGAAGCGGTGAGAGGTTCCTATTCGGACTTCCTCTATTCCCCACCCCAAGAACCCCCCCCCCCCCTCAAAAAGAGCT